TGCTCTTCACGCTGCTGACCCACGACTGCGCTCCATCCTTCAGCAGCAACCAATTGTGAAGTTCGCGGACGACACAACAGTGGTTGGTCTCATCTCCAACAACGATGAGACGCACTACAGGATGGAGGTCAGCCAACTGGCCACGTGGTGCAGAGACAACAACCTCTTCCTGAACGTCGACAAGACTAAGGAGGTTGTTGTTGACTTCCGGAGAGTCCCCACTCCTAAACCCCCACTGACCATCGACGGTGCTGCTGTGGAGAGAGTGAGCAGCACCAAGTTCCTAGGGGTTCACATCAGTGAGGATCTCTCCTGGACAGCCAACACCACATCACTGGCCAAGAAGTCCCAGCAGCACCTCTACTTCCTCCGCAAGCTGAAGAGAGCACGAGCCCCCCATCCATCATGTGCTCCTTCTACAGAGGCACCATCGAGAGCATCCTGACCAGCTGCATCACTGTGTGTGAGCTGCACTGCTGCCAACCGCAAGACCCTGCAGCGCACAGTGAAGGCTGCTGAACGGATTATCGGTGTCCCACTCCCTCTTTTCTGGACCTCTACGGTACCGCCTCACCCGCAAAGCAACCAGCATTGTGCGTGACCCCACCCACCCCTCACACAGCCTCTTCAGCCTCCTGCCATCGGGAGACGGTACCGCAGCCTGCGGGCCGGCTCCACCACACTGGGAAACAGCTTCTTCCACCAAGCGGTCAGGAAGCTTAACTCTCTGCCTCTCTTCCTTCCTCCCCTCTGCCCCCACGAACACTGGACGTTGAAACCCCCTCCCGTTTGCCACCAAGAACTCTGGACTAAAAACTCTAAAGCTAACATCTCAAAAGTACAATCAGTTTACTGCACATTGCACATATTGCACAAGTTTACTTTTTCTTTCAATTTTATTTTATTTACCATTTTGTACCTTTTGCACAATTTAGAATTATCTTATTTTACCTTATTTTATTTATCTATTTTGAACTTATCTTATTTTACCTTATTTTGGTTGTATTGCACCGCGGGACGGAGACAAACGCAATTTCGATTCCGCTGTATGTCTGGCATATTTTGAAATTGACAATAAAGTTGACTTTGACTTTGAGATACCAGGGGAGGGGAGGGGATTTTTTTTTTTTTTACCAGAATCCCACTGTGACATCACAAGGAGAGCACATTTGAAACAGAGCATTTTTCTCTGTGTTGTCAGACTTATGCAGACCACAAACAAAGGACTGGATGGGTTTATTTCACATGTTGTGGGTCAGTAGACTCTCAGGTTACCCAGATATATGTTCACAAACACTGTACAAGAGGATTTTTCATGATATGTCCCCTTTAAGAATAGGATTGCGGCCGGTAACAGAAATCCTTGGATTGCTCCATGCGTGCACGGTTTGCTCAAACGTTTATATTGTGTGTATGTATGTTTGTGTTTCAGGTGATCAGTGCTGCTCTCTCCCTGCTGACTCCCAACAGAGCGAACCTGCTGCTGCTGTCACCAGAGAACGAAGGTCACTGTCCGCTCAGAGAAAAATGGTTTGGTACCTGCTACAGCAAGGAGGGTACGACACACACACACACACACACACACACACACACACACACACACACACACACACACACACACACACACACACACACACACACACACACACACACATCACTATCAACCTGCGGTTCTACAAAATCATTAGAACTAAGCTCAGCTATCATTACATGTTTGTACGTTCAAAGCGGGAGCTCCACATACACACACAGTCAGACCTGCAACAACTCAGTGTTGTTCTCCCCCACTGGGTTAGGGTGACGTAATACTGCCTCTCTTCTCTAACGTCTCTGTTACTACCTCTGAAGACGTGTTGGGTTGAGATTGCTTGGTCCCCCGATTACGCCTCCCAAGATATTCAGATTGAAGGCCAAACATCACAGGGTGGAAATATCGCTGTCTCTTTAAGGCCTCACTCCCCACGTGCCTACTTTCTTCTGATTGGCCAGCTCTCTGGAAATCCTCCCTGGTGGGGCAGAACGCTGCAGGGCTGCCAGGGGGGGCTGCTCTCCAGTGCCGGGAGAAGAGAGTCTATGTAAGAGGTTTCAGTGGCTTACTTAGAGGCTTGAAGCCGTCTGGGGAACTTCTTGGTTTCATATCGATGAACTATGATATGAACAAGCCATCATACTTTTACCTTGTGATCTGAATATTTGACCACGTTTAGTTTGAGCATCCAGCATTGTAACACTTCATGACAGTTTTAAAACAGGGATCTGCAGAATGGGTTAACTGTAAATGATCAAATATTTGAAAAGTGTAATTTGGTGGGTTTTTTTTTTTCTCCCCAGACGTCTCAGAGGAGTGGGCTCAGCGCTGGAGCGGAGACTTTGAGCCCAACCCTGACCTCCACCTTCCTGCTGAGAACAAATTCATCGGTCAGTTCAAACACAACGTGCACGTTATTTCAGACTGAAGGTGTCGACTTACGTTTGAAATAAATCTCTCAGTCCGTCAGATTCATGACTCTTTTCTCTTCTTGGTGCTACAGCGACGGATTTCGACCTGAAAACGTCGGACTGTCCGGACACCGAGTTTCCTGTGAGGATCGTAAACAACGAGCGAGGCTGTTTGTGGTACAAGAAGGACAACAAGTTCAAGATCCCCAAAGGTGAGTCCAGAGGCGTGTCTGAAGAAGAGAGTTCAACATCTGGCTTCACGTATCCTGATGAAACGTATACCTTTATTTAAACGCAACATAAACTACATCGATATTTTCAAAATCAAACATCGATATAAATCTTGGGATACAAAGCGATGCCGACTAGGCGGTCAGTTTTAAGAAAACGATGGTATGCTGTTCAGTAAATAAATCTTGTGGAGTGTCTGACTGATTGAAAGACCCTTCTGTTAAAGAATCATGGGCGACGAGTGTGACTCACAAGTTGTTTGTGCATCCCAAATTTCACCGTAGCCTGAGAGCTAAACTACCGTACTGTAGCTACTGCAGCAGCGCAAACTGGAACTAAAAGAGCGACACAGCTGCACAGAAATGTTTAACGTTTTAGACTTTGCTGAGCGCAGTGGAAATCATCACGTAGAAGGACCTTTTATCTCTCTGAGAGACTCCCAAACACAGGTACATACAGGTGTGATTTATACTCCAGATTTTACAGTAAATAAAGATGCAGCTTTCAAACCGTTTGTACTCTGGTTTTAATGAGATGTCATTTTTTGTCTTCCAGCTTATATCCGCTTCAACCTGATCACCCCGATGATTCAGAAGAGTCCAGAAAAGTAAGAGAAACCTGCACGTTGAAATGACGACTTCATCTTCACAGAGCGCCACCGTAACGTCTCGCTCTCTCTCTCTCGCGCTCTCTCTCTCTCTCTCTCTCTCTCTCTCTCTCTCTCTCTCTCTCTCTCTCTCTCTCTCTCTCGCTCAGTCTGGTGCTCTTCGACCTCTTCGTGAACGTCTTGGCTCACAACCTGGCGGAGCCGGCGTACGAGGCTGACGTGGCTCAGCTGGAGTACAAGCTGGTGGCCGGGGAGCACGGCCTGGTGATCCGGCTCAAAGGATTCAACCACAAACTGCCGGTGAGGAGACTGAATGAAGAGCGTTTGGTGTCTCTGCGGTTGATCAGTTAATCCAGAAAAGCAATTATTGGTCAAATATGACAAACCATTAGGATGAGCTGACTTCCTTTCTGCTTCAGCTGCTGTTGAAGCTGATCGTGGATCATCTGGCCGAGTTCAGCACGGAGCCCGGCGTGTTCAACATGTTCTCTGAGCAGCTGAAGAAGACCTACTTCAACATCCTCATCAAACCCGAGAGACTCGGCAAGTACGTCTCACACTCTGAACACACTCTTTGATTATTTTGATAGGACAGTGGAGAGTGTAGGAAATCTAACGACATGTAGGACCGGAATCACAGGTCGGATTTGAACCTTGGTGGACTACAGCCTCCGTACATGGGCCGCAGCCTAACCGCTAGGCCATCCGCGCCCCTTGGCTTGACTACTTGTCCGTCTCTTGTCTTCAGGGACGTCCGTCTGCTGATCCTGGAGCACTGTCGCTGGTCGGTCATTCAGAAGTATCAGGCCGTCACCAAGGGTCTGACCGTCGACGACCTCCTGACCTTCGTTTCCGGGCTGAAGGCGGAGCTGTACGCCGAGGGGCTGGTGCAGGGGAACTTCACCAGCGCGGTGAGAAGAAACTAGATACAAAATTTTAAAAAAAACACGTTAAGAGCAGAATAAAAAGTCAAAATGGTTCTTTCTCTGATATCCATACCACGAGTTCAGCTGATTCTAACGTCTGCTACCGAAACAAAACCTTTCTGCTGCGTTCATCACACGGTCCCGCCCTCTGACAGCGACTCGGACTCCGGCAAAAAAAAGATTAGTGTTGTCTAATGATTACATTTTTAATCAGGATTAATCGCAGCTTTGAAATTCCATTATCACTTAAAACTTAAAATCGGCTTTTATTTTGAATGTTTTCACTGTCTTAGGCTGGTTTCAAATTTGGGACTCGGGCCCCGTTCCGAGTACGCTTGACCCCAAAGTTGGCTTCATTTGATCAGTGTGAACACAAACGTACCGTACTCGAGTACCGTGCCAGAGTCCACTTGAAGAGGTGGTCTCAGGCACGAGAACGTGACTGTACTCAAACACGGAGGTGAACTGATGTATGACGTGATTCTAAACGGCTCCTGGTGCTTTAAAAAACGCTGTATCCGCGCAGCACAGGTCCATTTTCAACCTCTGAGCTGAACAGTGGAAGTAGGAAGAGGGTTGTTGTTTGCATCTCAGAAATAACCTTAATGACAGCGTTTAAAGATTTGTTTAATTTCTGTGACCAGGATGAGAAATGGTGTGAAAAAGCTGTGAAGAGCTTGGTGAAGTTGCTCTGTGTTCCTCTTAAAAATGCTTTGCTTGTTCATTTCAAGACTTCATAAATTAAACATTTTGAAACACCTACTTAGATTTCTTTACTGCTTGTTTTCGTCAACGTTGTCAAGTTAAAATTTAAAGTATCTCACGTTTGTTTCTTCTTCTCACAGGAGTCCAAGGAGTTCCTGCAGTACTTCATTGAGTGAGTAATCGGCTTCATTTGTACATTGATGCTGTTTTTGATGTTGATATGTGGTAGTGCTACTACTGTGTAGCTGATGTGTAAACATGTTATTAAAAGAACCCTCTGTCTCTCTCTGCAGGAAGCTGCAGTTCCAGCCTCTGTCAGCAGAGGTCCCCGTGCTGTTCCGGGTGGTGGAGCTGCCTCAGAAACATCATCTGTGTAAAGTCAAATCTCTCAACAAAGCAGACGCCAACTCTGAGGTCACCGTCTACTTCCAGGTAGGAAAACTAAACGATCACACCGGACTACAAATGAGAACTACAAAACTTCAGCTTTCACTTTCTTTTAATTGTCGTGTTTGTAAGGTTCAGTTCACACTAATTTCAGACCTAAGCTCATAAAACTGTCCATATAGTTTGAGTTTTAGATGATTTAATATCCGCCCTGTTTTGGGGGTGCCAGAAATGTGTCAACATTCAATGTGTTTTGTGTTTTTAGTCGGGGCTGAAGAACCTGAGAGAGCACGCTCTGATGGAGCTGATGGTGGTGAGTGTTCACTGACTTTTAGCTGCAGCTGCACAAAGACGAGTCTTGTTCTTTAAATCTCTTTGACGTCCGTCTGTCTCCACAGATGCACATGGAGGAGCCGTGTTTCGACTTCTTAAGAACCAAGGAGACTCTGGGGTCAGTTTTCAGTCATTCATACAGAGCTGCATGACCACCTGACTTAGCTCAACACACACACACACACACACACTGCTGGGTAGGAGGCAGAGCTGCACAGTTCACAATAAACATGATCACTACATAAATATGACGCAGGGTCTTAACAACAGACCAGGAATTTGCAGCCCCCTGGTGGGTCATGAAGGTACTGCAGGTGTTGGCTGTGAGAGGTCAGAAAATATAATTATTTTGCTTTTCAAGATTAAAGATTAAAGCAGGCTGAAGCTATATGAGCCACCTGCTGATACCTGCATGATAAATACAGATACAATAAGATGAACCAGAGTCACTGCAGCCTGAGAAACAATCACAATACTCTGAAATATATACATATAACACTTTTCTTAATTTTCTCGCTGAGGTACAAGATTTCTTTTCCAAGAGAGTCCTGAACCAGAGAGCAGCATCAGAGATTCACACAATAAACAAACTTTACATCAATCAACCAATCAGAAGCCTCCAGCAGAGAAACATGTGAATACAGTGGTCAAATGATCCTTTATCCTGCTTTTTAAATCTTCCAAGCCGATTAAACAGACTCTGCAGCTCAGACCGAGACGATGGTGCTAACACACTCAAAGCGCTTTCACCAAAGTGAGAGAACGTTTTGTTGAGATCTGATCAGGAAGTGTCGTCAAGGGGCGCTGCGCCACAGATGAACATGTTTTAATATCTGAACAGCAAGCGTGCTGCGCTCACCTCAACAGGGTGCAGACGCGCTCTTGCACTGCGCTACACATAGACAGTGAATGGGTTTTAGAGTGGCTCGCAGCGCCCACCACATCCTTTCTGAAAGGACGCTCATCGATACCTGTGGGGCTGCGCGTGTTTAAGGGCGTATAAAATAAGTAAGGAAAATTGGAATATAGGGTTTTTATACCTGTACCTGTCGTACTTTTTACGTCGATGTTGTAGAATCAAAAGAATTCTGGTGATAAAGAGTTCTTTTCCTTTCAGGTACCAGGTGTACCCAACCTGCAGGAACACCTCAGGGGTGCTGGGATTCTCTGTCACCGTGGAAACACAGGCCACCAAGTTCAGGTGAGCTGACCTCTGTTGACCTCTGCTGCAGGTTTTTTTGTTTTGTTTTGACGCTCCAGGCGACTGAGCGGACGTGTTTTTGTCTTTTTGTCCTTTCAGCACAGAGTTTGTGGAGGCGAAGATCGAGGAGTTCCTTGTCAGCTTCGGCGAGTGTTTGTCGGGTCTTAGCGAGGAGGCGTTTAAAACGCAGGTGACCGCTCTCATCAAGCTGAAGGAGTGCGAGGACGCTCACCTGGGAGAGGAGGTCGACCGAAACTGGTTTGAGGTCGTCACGCAGCAGTACGTCTTCAAGCGGCTCAACAAAGAGGTGAGAGGCACTTCCATTCCTCGTTCTGTGATGACCTCTTACCACACCTCACACCACAGGAGAGTCTGGAAAGATCATCTTAGTAACCATCAGCTAATCGGGCTTTTGCTGGCTTTAGTCAGAGCGGGAGACTCAAGCCTGAAATCTTTCCAGTCGTCCTGTTTTCACACATGTACTCTCATAAGCTTTGTCAACAACAATGGCTGATGAGAACATGTGACTCGTCTTTTCCAGGACTTTTAGTGCTGAGTTTTTGAACAGAATCAAATATTAAGCACACTGATTAATTTAAAACAGACTAAAGAGTCACTAATTGAACTAACTGAGACACAGGCCCCTGTTGACTCATCCTTAACATACTTATTAAGAAGACTTTTTCTAAATCACAACATCTAATGACCATGAACTCATACAGCTTACAGTCACTTAGTGGACTCTGCAGGTCTCTGGTTCTGGCTCTGATCGGCTGTGTTTTGTGCAGATCGAGGCCCTGAAGGTCTTCAGTCAGGGGGAGCTGGTCTCCTGGTTCATGGAGCACAGAAACGGCAGCAGTAGGAGGCTCAGCGTGCACGTGAGTCTGTTTGTTGAGTTGACGTCATGAAGGTTTGTAAATCTCTCGTAGACTGAGTTTGAACCCTTTTGTTCTCCCCCCCCCCCCCGGTGTGGACTAGGTGGTCGGTTTCGGCGTGGAGGAGAACGACCCGCCTGAGCAGAGTGTCTGCTGCAGCCAGGACAGCCCCGACTCCCCCCCCTCCTCCTCGGCATACGGGGAGGTGAGCGAGCTCAACTTCCTGCCTGCCTCCTCGCCGGCGCTCCAGGACGTCACGCTCATCTCAGACATCAGAGCGTTCACCTCATCCCTCCCCCTCCACCCATACCACAAAATCCTCAGCTAGGTCCGGACGGACGGTGAAGGTGAAGAACGCCTCGTTCACTCTGTCAGTGTGTCGGGGAAAATAAAGTTACCATTGAAACAGCTAGCATCCATGTTTGATGAAAGAGGATGGACACACCTTGAGGAACTTTTAACACGCGTTTAGTTTTATTGTGAGTGGTTGTAAAATGCTGCGTTCATGTCCTGTGGGAAAAACAAAGATCTGGGCCTGTATTTATCACACACGTCGTCATCAGTCCCTTAAAATCCTCTGGAGAGCTGCATGTTCACATAAAAAAAAAATACTATATGTAGCTTAAAGCTCTGCAGTGTGCAAAAGCAAAAAAAAAAGAGGCTGAACTATAGCGTGCTGTTTATATGCAAAGGTAGGACGCTTACTTTACCTAATAATGACTGTTACTAATAAGCTATTTGCACTAACTAGGCCAGCGGACAATAACAACTCAAAACGCTTTTCTATCATGACAGTAATGCTTTAACACAAACAGTAATAATGATGCAAACAGAAGTTTTAATTGATGTAATATAACACCACGATCAAACACCTTTCCTCTGTCATTAACTCGATCAACTTTATTAATCCCACATGAGGAAAGTTGGGTCGACACAGCTGGTACTTAGAAACACAAACAACAATCAGTTCAACATACTTAAATATGGAATCAGTTCTAACATTAATTCTGAACAGAAGAGCTGAGCGAACATGAATCAGAACCTGTTTTTTACTCCTTGTTCACGTGGTAACGACCAGTTTGTGATTATTATTTCAAGAAGTCGACTTGTCTCGTATCGTCAGAGGCAAAAGCACGAAACGGTTATAGAAAACGTAGCGTAGAACTTGGTGTTTCAAGCCCCGTGTTCACTGAGCTTTTTTTTTTTTTCTGAGCGCCTGCAACTTTTTTCAATTGTTTCCAATGAGGAGAGAGCGTTTCCAATGAGGAGAGAGCGTTTCCAATGAGGAGAGAGCGTTTCCAATGAGGAGAGAGCGTTTCCAGCAGCAGACGGACACCCGGAGAAAAAGCGCAGTGCTGCTCAGTGTTTTTTTTCCGGGCGCTCTGCCTTTTTTTATGCAGTCGCCCCAAGCACTGAAGCTAGGGTGAGCCTAGAGCGTGTTAAGAGTGAGCTTAGAGTGAGCTTTAAGCTAGCATAGGGCGAGCTTCAAATGAGTTTAGAGCGATCTTAGATTGAGTTTAGGGCGAGCTTAGAGCAGTTTAGAAGAGAGCTTAGATTGAGTTTAGAGCAAGGCATCACAGGTGTTATCATGTGTAAATTACAAACTGATGTCAGTTTCATTTTTCAGAGGGAGGTAGGTGCCATAAACCTGAGAACAAGTTCAGAGGTGGATTCAAATGAAAGGGTTAAAAGGGAATATTCTTTTAAATTAGTTTAGCTTCATAAGGAAAAGCTTTGTGAGTTTCACTTAATTTACTAGAACAGTGTTTTTGAGTTCATGTGAATGTATTAGTTCAGTTCAGCGCACACGTTACTGGGAGTAAAACTTTTTTTATCCCAAAATACATTCATGATTACGATTTTAGTTATAATCAAGCAGCTTTAAAACAATATATATTCTGTTTCCTGGTTTGTAAATACAGGCCCAGAGCTTATAGAAAAATACTGTTCAGCTTATTTTCTGTTGGAGTATGTTTGATTTTAATTAAAGTCATCGACCAGGTCTGTTCAGACAAACTCCTGAGTTAAGATGAAGGTTGATCTTTTCTGTAATAAACCTGAACAGAATGAAGAGCAGGAAATAACAATCACTGCATCCCTTATTGGTTTAAACGAGTCAGCTCCGTCGCTTTGACTGTGAAAAATGTAGTATGATCATTTCCAGGGAGTAAGTGAATGCAGCACGAAGACTCAGGGCTCTGGTTTAAAATCCAGTCTGATACAAGAGACGACAAAGACGGGCATCTGTATCTTTAAAATGTGACTTCAGCCAGTATCACTGCGAAACCTACCATGTTTTTATTTATGCGTTTACATATTCATGTTCATACTGACTACTGGATGATGTATATGAAGAATTAAATGTACAGATTAAACAGCTTCTGGTGGCCAGTGATTTCAAACTGTGACGTATTTTAACTCAGAATGTACCGCTGTGGTTTATGAGTCCCGGAGAACGCAACCAAAATAATTTAAAATGACTTAAACTTTCATTTTAATGACGATTAAAAAAAATACTTAATCAGATGTTTCAGTGAAGAGAAGTTTTGTTTGTTTTTCTGTCCTTCAGTAATTATAGAACAATAATAAAGACTTTTATAAATGCTTCAAATGTAACTTTTATTCAGTGTGTTTCTCTGTTTAAGTGCTGTGATACAAAGTTAAGATCGTATGTCAAACTGGTGTTTAGAAAGCATAGGTTTGGATTAAGGTCAGGTTTGAAGATTTTGGAAATGTGTCAGTGTGACGTCTTGTCAGTGTGAGATCACTGATCTAAGCCCATTGGCTCATTGCGGCAAGCCCTGCAGCTCAAGTTGAAATTTCTCAGACGCGTGCTGAGCAACTGACCAATAACGACAGAGCAGATCGGCAGACCAATCAGAGCAGACTTGGCCCACGTGGGGTCTAACAGTGTGGGCTCAACAGAGTGTAGCTGACGGACTCAGAGCGGAGAGGGAGCAAGGAGGAGCAGTTCATGAAAACAGACACTTTTTAAAAACTTCATCTATTGTGAACGTACAAAAGTAGGAACATAGATTAAATATACAAACCCCTAAAAGGGCAGAATATGGGCTCTTTAAGATGTCCTGCCCTTTTGTCCTTGTGATAAACTTTTTTCCTGATGAAGGTCTAGTACCCAAACGTTGCCCTGTGAGATGCTATACACAAACACCACATTATATTACTATTGTGCTCCTACAGCATCTAAGCAGCAGGTTTGTACTGTGGTATCACTACATCTACCTAAGCAAAGGATTGTTGAACACAGTTCTTTGACTGGCATAATCATTTGTTTGTGGAGCAGCTCCACCCTGCTCTTTTTCAAACAGGCAAGTCCAGGCAGTAGAGAAAGAATGAGGTAAGACTGCACCCAGGATAAAAATGGGACGAAAAAATTCACCTGGGTTTTATTGCCTCTGTCTTATTGAGAACAGTACACTGGGAGCTTTACTAAAAGACATAGATGTTTCTAACTTGGTTTTATTGTGGGGTGTGAATTTAGAGTTGAACTCTGTCTCTATGGGTGTGACTGTTCTTTACAGCTCTCACGGTGTCAGGGAACGCTCCGGTGAAGACAACATAGAAGGTATCATTTTCACTGCAGAGTGCATTATTCATCTCAGTATCTTCCCTTGTGAGTTAAAACTTAGTTCATTTTTATTTAGAATATTCTTCCTGTTATTTTCTGGAAGAGACGGCCAGCAGTGCGAGGAGACGTCAAAGAAGTTAAGAGGTAAGAGATTCACCTGATTAAAACATATAAGTGAATAAAGATTGCCAATTCAGATGTTCTTTGTGTTGCAGGAGATATCTTTGGAATAAACCTGTAACTTTGTTTATTTGTCAGACAATCATTCATCATAAAACTGTTATTTGTCGTAGTCTTAGTAGTCCATATTATTTAACTCTAGGACCTCGCCCTAAAGATTTCAATCTCTATTTTGCACTTACACAGTGACAGCAACTGTTTGCCTGATGAAGGTTAAGCACCAAAACGTTGCCAATAAATGTTTGTTTGCAAGTTAGACAGTGAGCGGGAGTTTATCTTTAAGTACAGAAGAACATAATGTAATGAAAAGGGTTTAATCATGAGATCAGCGCTACAGTGTCAGACCCAGTCTAGGCAGGAAAAACAGCATTGCCGACTTGCAGATGAGGAAATAGAAATGGATTGAGCCAGAGCTCAAGATTGGATGAACATATTTTCTAAATGACCTGAAACAGCTGGTGTTGACACCTGATGTTTATATTGAGAGGGTTTTTTTTCAGAATCCGGCAGTAAGTGCGCGACACAGTTGAAATTATTCAGTCTTAATTGACTTAGCTTACGTATAACATCAGTAGATTGTCGTGATTTACCTTTGTTTAGTTTGTTTATTTCTTGTTTTTGTTGCTTAAATGTGAGGTCCGTTTTTATTTTGTCATTTGTATCCTCGTGTCTCTCTTTCTGTGTCTTCAGTATTTCCTGTCTTATGCTATTACTGCCTTTTGTGTCATCTCTTGATTGAAGTGTTGCCCTTGCCCATGAACAGTTTTATTATCTGAGACCCGTATGTAGTGTTTCCTGTTTTATATCTGGGTGGTATAGCGAGGAGAGTAGGCCCATTCGCGGGAGCTACAGCGGCTGTGGCTCAGTTGATAGAGTCGGTCACCTCAACCAGAGGTCTGGGGTGCAATCCCAGCTCCTGCACACCTAACCTCACCACACCTCCTGCTCTTCAGCCGTGTATGACTGTGTATGAATGTGATTAGTTACTTCTGATGGTCTCTTTACTCAGCAGGCCTCTTACCATCAGTGTGTGAATGGATGAGTAAATACTGATGGACTCTTTACTCAGCAGCCTCTACCATCAGTGTGTGAATGGATGAGTTAATACTGATGGACTCTTTACTCAGCGGCCTCTACCATCAGTGTGTGAATGGATGAGTTAATACTGATGGACTCTTTACTTCAGCAGCCTCTACCATCAGTGTGTGAATGGATGAGTTAATACTGATGGACTCTTTACTCAGCAGCCTCTACCATCAGTGTGTGAATGGATGAGTTAATACTGATGGCTCTTTACTCAGCAGGGCCTCTACATCAGTGTGTGAATGGATGAGTTAATACTGATGGACTCTTTACTCAGCGGCCTCTACCATCAGTGTGTGAATGGTATGAGTGATATACTTCTGATGGACTCTTTACTCAGCGGCTCTAC